GAAGATCAACTAAATCCCATGTACAAGTGTTCTCAAGAGCTTGTAATTCATCTTGCATAGCTTGTTGCCAAAGAGGGTTAGAAGAGGCCTCTTGATAGGATTGAGGCTCATATAACAAAGTAATAGCAGGAAAACAATTATTATCACGAAGGTTGTTGGGAGGGTTTCTTACTCGAGTAGGATGACTCGAGGATGGGACAACAAGCTCATTTGTAGAATCAACAGGTGATACAAATGAGGAAGTAGAAGAAGGCTCAAAATTATCTAATACATTACCAGCAAGCAGGTCATCTTCTAAAGAACTAGTTGGGGCATGTGGCGAGGCATTGTAGAGCTCATCAGATGTACCTGCATTAGAATCACTAGGAAATAGCTCAATAGAAGGATTAGTAAAAAATGGAGGTTGATGAGAGGATGACACTTTGAAGTTTGACAATGATGAGAACATAGTGTGTTCTCATAAGACAACACGACGTGAAACTTGTAGTTTTTGTGACACAGGATCCCAACAACGATATCCTTTTTGTGTAATCCCATAACCCAAAAAACAGCATAATCGAACTCTAGGTTCTAACTTGTTATGTTCATGAGGTGGAAGAAGAACAAAACATGCACAACCAAAAACCCTAAGAAGATTATAAGCAGGAAGAATACCATGTAGACGCTCATATGGAGACTGGTTATTAAGGACTGATGATGGAATGCGATTAATAAGATAAGCAATTGTAAGAGCAGCCTCACACCAAAATCGCTCTGGACAAGAAGATGAAAAGAGGAGAGCACGAACAGAATCAAGGATGTGTCTGTGTTTGTGTTCGGTTCGCCCATTTTGTTCAGAAGTATAAGGACAAGATTGTTGTGGCAGTGTACACTGTTGTTTCAAAAAGGATTGAAGTTTAGTACCAAGATATTCAGTAGCATTATCAGTTCTCAAAACTTTGATAATTTTAGAGAATTGGGTTTTGACAATGGTAGCAAAATCAATATAAATTTGTGATAATTCAGAGTGACTTTTTATAAGGTATATCCAGGTAAAACGAGTATGATCATCAATAAATAATACGAAGTACCTGGAACCCCCCATGGTGGGTGTAGGAGATGGACCCCAAACATCAGAATGCACAAGATCAAAAGGAGCAGTAGAATGAGAATGACTACTCAAAAAAGATAAAGCTGGCTGCTTTGCAGATAGACATGACACACAATGCACAAATTCATTCGGAACTGATCCTAATAAACCACGAGAGATAAGTGGACGAAGTTTACCGACTGAGGTATGTCTGAGTCGTGAATGCCACAAATGGAGAGGAGAAATGTTAATAGCAGCACAGACTTGGAAGATTTGTTGATATGGAATTTGCAAAGACTCTAATTCAATAGCACAAAGCAGGGTTTGGATGAATCGATCATTTGGAAATGATGGTGTATCCATTTTATTATAAAGAATATGCAGATAGTTGAGCTCAAACAAACGCCCCACCTTGTGACCAGTTCCAAGAAGTTGTCCTGTCCGTGGGTCCTGCACACGACAACCATGAGTAGAAAATGTTACTTCAAGACCAAGATCACATAATTGACTGATAGATAGAAGATTATAACTAAGTTTTGAAACTAAAAGGGCATTTGGTAAAGTCAATGACTTTGTAGAAATATTGCCAATGTGACTAACATTCATAGGGGAACCATCAGCCGAATAAATATCAGGAAAGGAATTATTAGGCGACATTGAAGAGAAATGAGTAGTAATTGAAGACATATGGTTACAACAACCAGAATTGTTTGCTGATGAAATGAATCCC